CCAGAGCGACCCTGTACAGGGTTTCCGAGGGTGTAAATCTTTACGGGAGTAGAAAGCCTCATCTTTCTCCCGCAGAGCAGCTGGTAGTTTCGAACTGCTGACCTTAAGGTTCGCAGCCTGATTCGTAACCACTACGCTACCAGAGCTCCTTCCAATATAACAGTCCTTGTGTTTTCAAATGTTTGAAAAACTATTCTGTCCCTCTAGTACAATATTCAACCACTGTGTATTCAGACATACTTTTGTGAGTTCTAGTGTGGTGCTGTGGGTTAATGCGCCAGACTGCAAAGCCGGTTGAGCTGCAAGGTCAGTGGTTCAAGCTCACCAGCTGCTCCTCGGAAACCCTATACAGGGTCGCTATGGGTCAGAACCAACTCGAAAGCACCGTAACAACAACATAATTCAAATTTAAGAATTTTTGGTAACAAACTATTTTAGCAGATTGTCTCAAATTATCTAAATGCTGCAATAACAGAAATACCACAGTGGTGACTATAATAAACAGAAACTCATTCTCTCGTAGTTTGGGAGGAAAAATGTCCAAGTTCAGGGGAAGGCTCTCTCTGTGTGGGTTCTGGGGAAAGGTCCTTGTCTCAACATGTGTGGGTCCAACATTTTAGATCTCTTACATGTGTTGATATCAAGTTTTCTCTGGGTCTAGGAGATTCTCAGCACAGGGAGTCCACATCCAAAGGACACACTTGGCTCCAAGCCTGTCTTTTTTGGTGGTCACTCTTTCTTGTTCAGGTCCCTCGCTGCTCCTTTTCTCTATTATCTCTTGTAAGATAAATGGGGAAGCAGGCCTCACCTCAAGGAAAAAACCCCTTACTTGAATCAGGACTGTGACTTTAGTAAGGTATTGTGGTTCCAGCCTAAGCCCCTTACAACTGATTGATCGCCTCAGATCACAGCATAGGGGAAGATTGCATTGCATAACTGCCAACCACAGACAGTCATTGCCCAGCCAAGTGGGCACAAATTTTGAAAGACATAATTCAATCCATGTGAGAGACCCTTGAATAGTTTTCCCTGTGGAAATTCTAAAGTCCCCTTACAATCAACCATAAAACTAATGGCTTTCCCTCTCAGGAAAAAGAAATTAACAATTATAACCATGAACCAAATTACACCAAGCTCTTTGGGCACCATGCTCTGGGAAAAAGGCACAGTTCGATATTTTGCAACAAATGGGGCATAAAATGCTTACAAAGTTCCTATAAGAACATTCTGTCAAAAATTAGCTTACTTAAAGTTTAACTGTGCTACTGGGGAACAGTGAGAGATCTGCTTACTGAACCTGCCTCAAATAAAATGTTGATTAGATCTCACCCCAGCTTATCATTCAATACCCAAGGGAAGCAATAAAAAAGTTAAAATCCTTTGTCTGCACCATGAAGGCATAAGGAGCAGGTGATCCAGATTTGCTGACACTAAAAAACAAAAATTAATTCTCACAAGCAAAGCCCTAATACTAGTGTGGGTAGTACTATGTAGACACTGCTTCCTATCATTTTGGATAGAGAACATAGCAGAAATATATTTCTTACTGAAAGTTTATGAACTAAAGCCTTCATCATATTGATTATGTTGTTGGTGTTACGTGCCGTTGAGTCGGTTTCGACTCATAGAGACCCTGTGTATTGTTTCCCAGGCTATAAATCTCTGCTGAAACAGAAAGCCTCATCTTTCTCCCACAGAGCAGCTGGTGGTCTCAAATTATCGACCTTGTGGTTCACAGTCCAGTGTTTATCCTACAGAGCCACAGCATTCCACATGTAGATTATGAAAGACACAAAAACAGGAAAGGTCAAAAATGAGAGTGACTTGATTTTCACAGGTGCCTCAAATCATAATACTCTATCTGCTATTTGAAAAGAAATATGTACTAAACTAAAAATCATTTTAAAAAGAGAGAGAGACGAAGAAATAGACCAGGTTTACTGGTCAGAAAGATACTAGAGGAACGTGAGACTATAGTCCTCAGCCACCCTTCAGGTCTTACCCTTGTGACCCAAAACATTAGATAGGTACATTGCTGTTAAATGCCGTGGAGACAGTTCAGACTCCTCGCAACCCTATATAGGGTTTCCAAAGAGCAGCTGATGGATTTGAATTACCAACCTTGTGATTAGCAGTCCAGCGCTTATTTACCGCACCACACCAGGACTCCAGACAGGTATATAGCAAGGGCAGTAACATTACTAAGGTAGGCTCACCATGGAATAGTCAACCATTCAAGATCAAAAGGGCAACATATACCTAAGGACAAGTTAAGGAATGGGAATGTAAACCTTCATTCAATTCATGAAAGAAAATGAAAAGAACTGTGTACTGTTCTAACTACATTCCCTAAATCCATGAGGTAAAGTTCTCAAGTTCAAACAAAGGAAAAGCAGATCCTTCTGGAAATCATTTATACTGGGTTGTTAATTTCTGTGAGTCAACTTTGATTCATTAACAACCCCATGTGTGCAGAGTAGTACTGCTCCATGGGATTTTCAATGCTGTGAATTTTCAGAAGCAGATCACCATGCCTTATTTTCAAGGTACCTCAATTCACAGTCCAGCATGTGCCAGCCAGGATTACTCCTCTTAACCTTTTTCTTCCCCCACAATTATACAGCTTATTGGAGAAATATGAAGCCCCGGTGTGGTGCTGTAGAATAAGCACTGGATTGCTAACCACAAGGTCGGTAACCCTATACAGGGTTGCTATGAGTCAGAAATCAGCTCGACAGCACTTAACAAGCTACAGGCCTGTTAACTTCTGACAGTATGGTGCACCCTACTCTATACTAAGGAGTCCTGGTGTGGCGCTGTGGGTTAATGCGCCAGACTGCAAAGCCTTTAGAACTGCAAGGTCAGAGGTTTAAGGTCACCAGCTGCTCCTTGGAAACCCTATACAGGGTCGCTATGGGTTGGAACCGACTCAATGGCATTTAACAACTCTATACTAAACTGCACCACCTGCTTAGCTCAATGCTTCCTTTGACAAATTTCCCTATAACAGTGCCAGTCTTACATATCTGTCACAGTTTGTCAACATACCTATATAAAGAATTCAAACAATACCAGTACGAGGTGCCTGAGTAAATCACTGCCCTGGAATCCAAAGCACAAAAACAGGCCTTAAAGTTCCTTGTGGAACATTTCGTTGGAAAGAAGGGAGTAACACACCCATCCTAGGCAAAAGGATGGTGAGTTAGTTAAGGATGGGTCTTCGTTTCTCCAGTAAATGCAGCAGTATCTTTTTTTTAAAAAAAAAACAAATCCACTGCTACCATGTCGATTTCGACTCACAACGACTCTGTAAGACAACGCGAATCTGCTCAAGATTTCCGGGACTGTAAATCTTCACTGGAGCCAACAACCTCACCTTTCTCCTTCTGAGGTCATGGTGAGTTTGAACAGCCAAGCTTGTAGTTAGCAACCCAATGCTCATCGCACATACTGAATTCTTTCTAAAAACACAAATGTTCTCGTTTTGCACTACTTTGCTTATTTTTAATGAAACAAACAAAATAAAGTCTACAAATAAAATGTGCGCCCACTCAATATTCGTTAGATCTATTTAGTCTTGAATTTTTTTTCTTAGTTTTTTATTTTGTATCTCTCTGGTCCCCTGATAGAGCGCCACCATTCGCCAAATACAAGGTTAGAGCTTCAAGGAATGCATGTGGAATTTAAGGAGGAGGTTATTCTACTTGCTCTGACATTCAAATATTTACTGTTTTGTTTCTGCCTTTTCCCTTAACTTTACGCCCTGAGCATCTTTTTAAAACCTGTATTTCAAAGCAGCACCTATCTCCTATTCACAAATCCATTTCATCCTAACACTGCTCTTCCTGGAGAGATATTTCCCGAAGGAGAGAAGGGTTTTTTATTTGAAGTTTCGGTATATACACACACACACACACACACACCCGTTACTGTGGGGTTCACAACCGGGACGTAGTAATGAGCAGTCACATCATCTTAACCCTAGAAGCTTCTTTTTCCCGCCGCTGATGCTGGGAGAGGGGGGGAGTGGTGGAAAGAACGCAAGCAAGATGCTGCTCCCGCGGATCCCGAAGCAAGTGGTCCTAGTTGGAGGAAAACCGCGTAACCTTAATCCGGATTCCTGCAGGCAGGAAATTACAACTCGTGCCTGAAAGACCCTCGTTGCCACCTACCTGTCCGAGACCTCCGTGCAACGCCGGCGGGTAAAGACCCGAGCGGTCTCCGCGGGCACGCGGCCACGCAGGAGGCAGAAGGCAGGGCCGTGTTTAGCTCCGCAGGGCACGGTTAGGCCCAGCTCCCCCGACAGCCGCCAACCACTTCACCTACCTGCGCAGCTGCAGCCACTCAGTGAAGCGAGTCAGCCTCCGGGGCAAAAACAACCCCGAGGCTCCTCCCTCTCCTCGTGCTCCCTCTGTTGGGGGGGATTTCCAACCAATGAGAAACGCAAAGGGAGGAGCAAGAGCCTGCCCAGGTGACAGACAACGACAGAATCCTCCCGCCACCTCGAGCGGGCCGTGCAGTTGCTGGGCCAATCAGCAGAGTGGGTGGGGAGTGAGGGGCAGAGAGAAAGCAGGGAAATAGGAGACCCAATCAGATCTTGAGACACTCGAGCGACGCGCCCTGTGGCCTGTGGCCTTCCGAGTGCGGCGCTCAGGGGGCGTGCCTGCCTGAACCAATCGGCGCGAGCCCACTGTACGGAGCGAGCGCCTCAAATGCTTGGGTATCTCAGCTGATTGTCTCCAGCCGAGAGTTGTTTTTTGCAGCTACGGAGTCTAGCCGCAGCAGGAGGAGCCGAGACCCCCGGGGGGCGGGGGACAGGAGGCGGGGTTGGGGGAGCCGCGGCTGCTCTGCGCGGGGCTCTGTGTCCCGTTACGGCTCTGCCTGGGGTTGGAAGCTGGGGTGGGTGGGGGGGTTAGGGGGAAATCCTGCTTCCCCTCGACGGCGACTCTGAGTCCGGTTGCTGCCTTAGCGCTCTCCTTCGCCCGCCCACCAGTCCTCTCATGAGGGTGTCCGTGCCGGGACCCGCGGCTTCCGCCGCCCCAGCAGCCGGCCGCGAGCCCTCGACGCCCGGCGGAGGCGGGGAGGGTGGAGGCGCCGTCGCTGCCGCCTCAGGCGCCGCGGTGCCCGGCTCGGTGCAGTTGGCGCTGAGCGTCCTGCACGCCCTGCTCTACGCCGCGCTCTTCGCCTTTGCCTACCTGCAGCTGTGGCGGCTGCTGCTGTACCGCGAGCGGCGGCTGAGTTACCAGAGCCTCTGCCTCTTTCTCTGTCTGCTATGGGCAGCGCTCAGGACCACCCTCTTCTCCGCCGCCTTCTCCCTCAGCGGCTCCCTGCCCCTGCTCCGGCCGCCCGCTCACCTGCACTTCTTCCCGCACTGGCTGCTCTACTGCTTCCCCTCCTGCCTCCAGTTCTCCACTCTCTGTCTCCTCAACCTCTACCTGGCGGAGGTAAGGCAAGGCGGGAGAAGCGCCGTGCGGGGCAGCGGGGGCGCCTGGGTCCGCGGTGGAAGTAGGAGGCGGGTTTGGGACCAGCCCGGGGAAACTGAGGCACGCCTGGAGTCGGCGCCCGGGTGTCCGCTCTCAACTTCAGCAGCCGATGGGCTGGGTGCCGGAGGGGAGCCGGTCGGGTGGGGGTGGGGGGAGATGAGTGCGAGTGGATGTGTTCTGACAACTTCAAACCGCGAAAACACCCTTTGTTCGGTGTTGGGGCCTCGGAAGGTAAGGCGTAGGTGGCTCCAACTAAGTGGCACCGGCCGAAGTCGCCGGGCCGGTGGCTGTGCGGGAGCTGGACTGTGTGCAGGGCGAGCGGATGCTGAGGTAGCAGCAGCCCTGCTGAAGCTGGCTTGCTGCCAGCCATTACGTCACCAGGCAGAGCTGTGCCTCTGCTATTGTTGCTGCGTTTCTTTTATTAGAAGCTCATATTCCCTCCTGCACCTCCTTTCCTGTGGCTCGCTCAGCCCCACGCAAACGCCGTTCCAGAGTTCCCCCCAACAGGGTGAACACTCAAGAGCCAGTGCTGAGGACCGCCAGAAAGCCCTTCCATTTTTGTCCCAGTTGTTTCAGGCTTTGGCAATTGAGCCGACCTTTTAGCGCCTAGCCTCTCCTGGAGCCAATGCATGGAGAAAACGGCTAGCTAGTTTAACCTGTGCGGATTGCAGAAAACAAACCACCAAAGTGTCTTTGCAATAACTTCCTTAATAGCTGGAGCCTAATTAATCAGTCAGTCACACACACGGACACCTTTCTCTTTTATGGGAATTGTTGGTTGGGTTGTATTGTTCTGCCGTGCTTAGCTATTTGATTCATTTCAAACAGGTTGGAGAATGTAAATTTCTCAATCCTATGTGTCAGCTAGTGATATTTAAGCAGAGGTCAGCTGTTAGAATTCAACAGCCGCTGCTCAGGAGAAAGAGACGGCAGTCTGTTTTTCTAAAGATTTATAGCCTTGGAAACCCTGTGTGGGACAGTTCTACTCGGACCTACTGGGTCACTGAGTTGGAATCCACTGAAGGGCAATGGGTTTGGTTTGGGGGTTTTTTGGTTTGGGGTTTTTCTTGGTTGGATTTTTGTTTTGGTTTAGTTTTCATATTTTAAGAATTGTTCTCCCCACCAAAAAAAGTCCCCATCTCCTTAAAAAAAAAAATACAGTGAGGAGGGGAGAAAACAAGGTGACATCATATACTTAATACAACTGACTAATATAGAACGATATGGGTTTATGCAGCTAATCCTCTTTTGAAGATAATGAGAATTAACATTGTTCGGAGCAAAAGCAAAAAAAAAAAAAAAGGTGCAAATTCAGTGTTTATATATTTTGCACAAACCAACTCTTCCTTAAGATAGGAAATCAAATGCATAATTTAAAAACCACACTACATAACTTTAGCTTTTTGGCAAGCTCAAAACATCAGTTGAAAATAACAAAACTCTAATTGTTAATCAGACATTTTAATGCCTAATTTAACCTTGATTGTTTTTCTTCCCAGTCCTTTGGTAATCCAAGCAATACAATAACAAAAACCCAAGCAATAAGAAGCAAAAATAATAGGCATGAGTAATCATAAAGCAAATGATTATGACATAATCATGTAACTGATGTGACTATCTTTTGATCTTCTACTTGGTTAAGCAGTTGTGTTTTTTACAGTTCTGTTTTTTACAGTTAAGCGGATACACTGTGTTTTTCTTGCTACCATTTTTGGTAAAAGAATTACCCAGAGAGCTTAACTCTATTTTAACTGGTTAACCAGTTGCTGTAGAGTCAACTGCAACCCATGATGATCCTATATGCATCAGAGTAGAACTCTGCTCTATAGGATTTTCAGTGGCTGATTTTTCAGAAGTCGATCAGTAGGCCTTTCTTTTTAGAAACCTCTTAGTGGACTCAGAGTGCCAATCTTTTGGTTATCCGTTCACTAACTGTTTGCAGCAACTAGGCACACCATTCTAACTTTAAGTCAATTTCAACTCACAGCAACTCTGTAAAGGACTTCCCAATATTGACTGAAAGGTTTGAACTGTTGACCTTGCATTTAGTAGTCCAGTGCTTATTTTACAGTACCACTTGTTAAGTGCCATCGAGTCGATTCCGACCCATAGCGACCCTGTATAGGGTTTCCAAGGAGCAACTAGTGAGCTTGAACCGCCGACCTTACGATTCAAACGACTTTGCGGTCTGGCGCATTAACCCACAGTGCCACAATACCGCTTAGTTATAGTTAATTTAAATGGCAGTACTTATGCCATGAGCATCAGATAGTTTTTTTTTTTCCCTTGTACAATATGATATATAAAACCATATTGATGATTCACTATAAAATGGTTGGTGGACATTTCCTAAACACACTTTACATTTCTTTTGTGGTATACCATACTTTAAAGTTTACAGATCTTAAGAGTACAGCCAAATTAAAATTTTAACTATATATAGAGTTCATATATATGAGTCAGAACCGACTTAACCGCATGTAACAAATATGTATATATACTCACAGTTGTAACTGTTTGATGCCATTGTTGCAACCACTGTGTCAATTCATCATTTGGGGGGGTTTCCTCTTTTTCATTGACCCTTTACCAAGCATGATGTCCTTGTCCAGGGGCTGGTTCTTCCTGACAACATGTTCAAAGTACTGGAGAGACGAAGTCTTACCATCGTGGCTTCTAAGGAGCAATCTGGCTATACTTCTTCCAAAGCAGTTTTGTTCATTCTTCTGGCAGTCCACGGTACTTTCAGTATTCTTCATCAACACCATAATTCAAATGCATCAATTTTTCTATGACAATCCTTATACGTTGTCATGCTTTAGCATATATATGAGGCAGTGGAGGATATACCATGGCTTCAGTTAGGTACACCTTAGTCCTGAAAGTGACATCTTTACTCTTTAACACTTTAAATGAGTCCTTTGCAGCAGATTTGCCTAATACAATATGTTGCTTGATTTCTTGGCTGCTGCTTCCATGAACTTTAATTGTGGCTACAAGTAAAATTAAATCTTTGACAACTTCAATATTTTCTCCATTTATCATGATATTTTAAGAATAAATGTGTTACCACCACCAGCTTAAAATATAGAACATTTCCAGTGCCTTAAAAAGTACCCTTGTGGCTGATGAAAGGAGATGGGGGTAGGTCTCTTGTGGTAAAATAGTGAATAATTGTTATCAGGACTGACTGTGAGGGTTGGAAATGTAAAGGTAGATGTTTTGTAGCAAAAGGAGTAGAGTGGTTGACTTTGCAGTCCAGGAGCGGAGGCCCTGGGACCATCAAGGGAGAAGAGCAGAGAGCGGGACCCTACCCAGAGAAGCCGTGACACCAGAGATGGAGGCAGAGGCGATGACATGGAGAGATGGAGCGGCTAGGAACTCTAGACCCAGAGAGGGAGAGGGGCTGTGTACTGACAACTCGGGGGCAGGTTTGCAGGGTATACCCTTTGGTTGTTTGATGATACATGGAGGGGATTGTAACTATGGCAGTGAAATGATATAGGATGAATATAAAACTAATGTTCTCCCATGTAAACTATCACATAATTCATAATAAAACATTTTTTAAAAAAATTAGTTCCCTTGTGCTCTCTACCAATAAATAATACCTCTTATCCCACTGTAAACACAAAGTGGCTAAGCACTATCTAACTAAACAGTTCAAATAGAAAAAAAAAAGCAGCTGATACTTTAACTCAAAATTCTAAAAGTATACATCTACAATATAAAATACAGTCTTTAGATTGTGTTTTGAGGCTTGATTGCTAATATTCCAAGCCGGTGAATTTAAGTTTCTAAAAGTCTTCCTGTTAATGAATCTTGTGTGTGCAGTATACTTAAGCAATAAAACTTTTAACCTCCAAAATGCCAAACCAACTGCCATCAAGTCAATCTCAACTCGTAGTGACCCTATTTATGGTTTCCAAGATTGTATACATTTTTATGGGAGCAGACAGCCTATTTTTCTCCTGAAGAGTGGCTGGTGGGTTTGAACCACCAACCTTGTGGTTAGCAGCCCAATACCTAACCACAACACCGCAGATAATATAACTTGGAAAGAAGCTTTTTCTTTTGTGGTGTCTCTTAAAAAGGACATAGTGGTCCACAGTGGCAGTTATGTGCCATGGAGTCTGTTCCAACTCATAGCGACACTACATAGGGTTTAGAAGCTGTAAATCTTTGCAGGAGCATAAAGCCTCATCTTTCTCCTGCAGAACAGCTAGTAATTTTGAGCAGCTGACCTCTCTGTGAAGTGCCGTCAAGTCAGTTACGACCCATAGCAACCCTGTATAAGGTTTCCAAGGAGAAGCTAGTGAGCTTGCAGTTGAAATACCTTTGCAGTCTGACGCATTAACCTACAGCGCCACACCAGGACACTACTAGAGCGCCTCTAAAAGGATATATATATATAATTTTTAGTAAACAGTGTTAACGAACTATACTCAGACTGTGCTTAGAAATATTTTAAATTTCTTGCAGGACTTATTGAAAAAGAGATTCTAACCAAAAATCATTTCCTATTCATTGTAGAAAATTCAGAGAAACCTGTATTTAAAAGAATATTTTGATTCAAATGTGCCTATCAGTTCCACATAACTGGGACTGTAGTTGCCGTATGACCATTCTGAATTTACTGAAACTTTTCCCAGTAAGCTCTTTGTATTAGAGCAAAGTGATAGGGACAGTTTGGGCGAGTCTTCTGAAACTCGGACATTTAAAAAAAAAAAAAATCTTGGTGACTACACGAGGGGAATTGAGATAGATAAGGAAGTTGCTCATTCTGAAACAGTCTTTTCAACTTGTCAAACTTAGCCTCCTGAAAGTAGATTTAAAAAAAAAAAACTGTACACTAATCTAAAAAATCATATTAAATTTTTTCTGGTAGTGTCAGTAAAGCATGAACCTCTATTAGAGAAACCTTGAAAGTCTTTAAATCTATTATCTAGTATACTGATGCT